AATATAAATTGTTGTCATAACCTCAATATTATTGTTAGATCCTCAGTTTGTTGAAGCTACATGGCGGACACGACCCGCGCGCCTAAGCGTCAAAAGTTAGCAGAAAGCGCAGACGACACGACACATTTAACTAGTCCAGCGTTCTATTTAACGAAACTAAGACATTCTCCACCAGATCACAATGGTAAGTTGATCTCTCAGTCCAAAGTTATTTTCTGATGCATTGAAAGGCTATTGCAATTGTTCAGTGTACTCTAAAAGTCTGACTGATCTTCTGGAAGGAGAGTATACCCGTTGTTTGCTTACCAACTACATGTATGACCTTCCATGGCTTTTCTCTGAGTGCCCTCGATTGCGACAAGTACCAGTATTGTTAGTACACGGGGAGAGAGACAAAGAAGCGTGTGTTGCAAATATTTTCGACAACATGGTTTGTAAATACAACTAAGCGATTTTGTTTTTGTTACGGTTGTAGAATAACGAAAGAGTGTCGAGAGTATCCCAATGTGACGCTTATAGCTCCACCACTGCCTATTTCATTTGGAACGCATCATACAAAAATGTTTGCAGCGCTGTACCCTGAAAAAGTGCGAGTGGCGATCTTTACAGCTAATTTTCTGGCCAATGATTGGAACAATGAAACACAAGGAATATGGTTTCAAAATTTTGGGCTTAAGATTCTTTCGGACAATGACAAGATAAAGAAGGAGGCGGATTTCAATGATTTTGAAACCGATTTGGTCCAGTATCTGTCCTCGCTAGGAGCGAGAGTCAAGGACTTCTGTAGAAAATTCCATAGGTTTGATATTTTGCTCTAGTACCGTCAGTGCCCGGAGTTTACAGAGGCAAAGGTACGGCGCTTTATGTTGTATCTCTCAGCATTCATTAGGGCTCACGAAACGTTTTGTGCTTTATGTCAAGATTTGGAAAAGTACGGACACCTTCGCGTGCGCAAGTATGTCTTGTCATTTTTGTTATGCATGTAAGTGTCTGAAAGGTATCTACTGTCAAATGCTGTTGAATAGGCTTTTAAAAATGTACAAGGTCCCTCCTACAGATAACCCTTTGATTTGCCAAGTGCGTGACTTTTATCTGAATGCAAAATTATCGATACTATCTACATTTTAACAGTTTTCTAGTTTAGGATCACTTGACGAGAAGTGGCTGTTCGGAGAATTCGCCGAGAGCCTCTTACAGGGGAAAAAAAATATTACCTCCACTTCCATGCCAGTTCAAGCATTGCATATCATATGGCCTTCAGTTGAGGACGTGGTAAGTCCGACTCCATTATTTAAAGATTTTTTTCAAGTCTCAACCAAGTATTTTAACTTAATCAGCGAAATTCGCGTGAAGGATGGAACGCTGGGCGATCTATTCCTTGTCCGCTAAAAAATATGAAGCCATTCCTGCACAAATATCTTCGAAAGTGGATGCCGCCGTCAAAGCTTCATCGCCAGAATGCCATGCCGCATATAAAGACATATGCTCGCTTCAATCCAACCGGCGATAGCGAAGGAGGCCTAGACTGGGCTATGGTCACAAGTTCAAATTTAAGCAAAGCTGCGTGGGG